AGCAGGAAGCTAAATAAACACTCCTGCTTACTCAGATATCCCTTTAACATCCAGCATCCTCCAGGACTTCATTCATTGGAACCTGCTGTAACTGTTCATTTTCATTTTAAACAATAAAAGCCACATGTCAGGATATTAGAAGGGATGCAGAGACCCTGCTACTTGGCAGGGCCATGTGGAAATTGTCATTATGGGTTGAGGAACTCATTCAGGTTGAGTGAGCAATTAAATTCACCGATTGACTATGCAGAATAGCTCCAAAGTAGGCTTTCATTACAAACTTGCAGACATTTCATTAAGTACTCAATGCAGTATTATAGCAACAATAAATGGAATCTCTCAAAGCACGTTACTGTGCACTCATTTGAAAAAAATTTTCTGTTATAGTTCAGTAAGCGTCAACACAATAAAAATTTGTGTCATGTGCAATGTATTTTACATTTATTTCCAGCTGATGATAGGCAGTCAGGACCATCAGCCATGCCTTCAGCCTCTACCTTCCCTTGCATCTCACTGCTGGGAGAACCCTGCAGTCAGGGAGCTGAGGGGTGAGGCTGGCTGCGGGGCCCCGCAGAAAGAGAGAGGAGGACACTGCAGCCTTGTGCTACACGTTCTTCCACCAGGCCTCACAAGAGAAGGAGAAAAGGGTTAGTTGAAGGAAATTCAGTATAGTGGAGAAGTAGCAAACTAAGCTCAGTCTCCCCCCAAAGTCCTGCTCTCCTGTAGGCAGCCGCTGCTGCCAGCCTACACTCCCACGTGCTGTGAGTCTGAGAGGTCTGCAACCAGGTGGGCACCAGGCGAAGCCTCAGGGATGTTCTGAGAAGCAGCAGTTTCCAAGCCCTGCCAAACTCCCTAATGGGAAGCATGAGGACACTGCTGTCACCACCCCTGTGTACAGCTGTCCCCAGGTCCCCACTGGCATGACCCTCTAACTGGGGGGAGAAAAACACAGCCATGACACCTTCTTTAAGAGATATCCAGGTTTGAAACACTGATGGCATTTCCACGGTATAGATACAGCTTCTCCTTTCTGCTGACTACTATTCTGGGTTTTTTCTGAGGAGTGAAAAAGAGGGAGGAAGAAAGGAGGAGTGTGCATGTGCGAACAAAAAGTCAGAAAGATATATGTGTGTGTCTGTGTGTGTGTATATATACACACACATTTAAATGAGCAGAGAAAGGCTCAGTGCCAGATTTAGTTCCATTTTGCTTTACTAAGGAGATCTCTGCTGGATTCAGCAGCTCCCCTGCCTTTCTGGGAACATGACATATTTCCTGTCTAGCAATGGGCAAATTCCATTTGTTTGCTAATGGTAGTGATGCCAGTGTTTGCTACATGGGATTTAAATACCTGGTTATCGCTGACAAATTCAGTTTTGGGGCTGAAGTTACATGACATGAGAGTTTAACAGACAAAATTTCAATTTGTATTTAAGATAAAACTCAGTGTCTGGGCTTTTTAAAATCCTCACAATGAAATGACATAAAAATATGTAGCATTGATCTAATAGAGGTCATGATATCAACTCCTGAAGAATCAGAAAACCTTTGCTGAAGGGAGATACAGGTTTTTGGTTTTCTTTTTTTAAACTATTTAATCTGCAAGAACATTTGAGCTAGCTCCCTGCTAGGGCCCTTACACTTCTTCCAACCCAGCAAGTGAGGAGATAGCTTGGCAGGGGGAAGGCGAACACAGGAATTTTCTCTGTATTTCAGCAGACATGGCTACACACATGCTTTGTTCTCTTGACTTTTCTTCCCCCTGACAAAAATCTTGTCACCATCAATACAAGGGCTGGGGAGACAGGTCACATGAAATTGCACCAAGCTGCTTCCACATGTTATTTTTAGCCTTGTCTGTCATCTTAGAGAGCTGCGTGTCAGAGACAAGCATGCTGCAGAGAACAGAGGTAGCTCTTTAAATAAACTCTCCTGCAAAGACTAGAACAGGCTGTAAAATTCTTGTACCAGGCAGCACCGTTTTCTCTTCTCATCAAAAAAGTTTGTGCATGGACAAAAACCAGAATGGGGACTCTGAGAGTCTTCAGGGGTCTGTATGGAGGCAAAGCTTGCAATGGGGAGAGAGGCTCGCCCCACGGCTGGTAGGTGTGATGACTAACTCACATCACATAAGCAGGACACAGTCCCAGAGGGGTCAGCTGTCACATCCAGCACTACTGGAAAATCAAGACCTCTTTCAGTGCCCAGGAAGGATGAGAACTCAAGGCTCTGACTTCCCTCTGCTCCCAGGATGGGAGTTCCCAAGTTCCACTGCAGGAGAGTGCAGACAGCTCTTGGCTTTCCTTGGGGTACCTGGAAGCTCTCCATTGCTGCAGCAGATGAGCACCCTCAGCATGGACAGAGGGCAAACTACTTGAATGCCCTGAATTCTCAGGCTCTTGGTGGAAGCTTACCATATTTTTTGCAAGCCACTTCACCCCCTGCTGAAGCACAGAGAGTTCGTTTCTGAGCAAGCTGCACGGCTTATTACTCCCACAGCATCTGCTCTGGGCACACCAGGCCCTCAGCTGCTTCCAAACTACCCTATGGCCACCCTACAATTACCAACGGGTCTTCCTCACCCACTATATCCCAGAAGGAAACAATCCCACTTTCCCCCAAAGCCTTACTTGTAAACAGCAACAACAGCAAGACCTACACCTAAACCAGAAGTACGTGGATTGGAAGATCTTTGGAGAATCATGTAGCAATGATTTTTGTTTGAAACAGTCCAAAGGGGCATATATCCCTGAAAGAGACATCTGTAATAGAAATAACCCAAATATAACCCATAATCTAGGAGAGGGTGTCAGTAAGCTGCAGAGAGCCACAACCCTTTGCAGTTACATACACGATGGAGTGCAGAGAAAAGCAGAGGTGCCGATACGTACTTATCTGGAGACTACAACTTCTTAAGTTTAAGATTTTAACACCATATAATGCAAAGGGAGACAGGAAGCTGTGATCGTCAGTGTAGAGAGATATCAAAATAAACAGGTCAAATGCTAGAGAGGATCAGTAAAGAAGTTACTAATAGGAGATAAATCCATGTGACATTTTTACAGAGCTGCCTGTAAAAGGATGCCTTCTTGAGAGGAATATGAAGCTTCTGTTACCAGCAATGCTCACAGCTATATGAAAGGAATACAGGTCACAAAAGCTGAAGTGTTAGGAAAGGCTTTCTGGTCTGGTACTTACCCTCTCTTTGTAGTAAAAGGAGCTAATGGAGACCTGCTCCTTCTCGCTGCGTGTCGGACTCCCGCTATATAAACGCAGATTGCCTGGAGTCTCTGTGCGGATCTTCATTGGAGTAATGAGGCCACTATGGTATGCTGATAAAGCTGACAGGGACCTAGAAACAAGGGAATACACTTTCAGGAGCTTTCACCCACCACATTGCCTTGGAGGCTCACACTGACATCTCCACTAATGCAAGCGGCTAGCAACGTTTCGGGTGTGTTGAAGGAAGGGGTCTCTGCTGGGGGTGAGTGACATAAGGGACCAGCCTCTCTGTGTGGAGGGCACAGCTAACACTAAAGGTCAGTACTTTCTGAAGGCCAGTAGCTCCAGTGTAGGGTCTGATATTCTCCTGCTTTCCTACCCATGACAGCAGCACATCTCAAATGCGACGCAGGGTGCTCACCTGGGTGTGGGCTCTGTCGGGGACACTGCACGGTGCATGGTCATGGGTCTCGTGAAATACACCAGGTACCCTGAAGAGACAGGACATGGCATAAAGATCATGCAACGAGGAGTAGATTACCCAGGGGTGGTTTACACAGGGAAACCTGGTCATTTAAGGTATCAGAGTCAAGGGGCTGGGTGCCTATCTGCTACCCTGAGCACTTCTAAACTACAAGTAGACAACCACATTTTCTCAACCCAAATCCACTCCCTGCAAACCCATTAAAGAGCATGTTTTGTTGAGATTATTGTCTTAAAAGCACCATCTCAAGTGGCTTACAGATGTTAGAGAAAAGACAGTAAAAGAAAAGGAGCAAACATACTCATGTTTTAACTCTTCACCAGAACTTGTCAAGCACTGATACTCCAGAGGCAAGTGAGGTCATGTTTGGCTATGCAGAGAAACCACTGCAGCTTGTATGACTCTCCTCTTCAACAGGATAACCCGAGCCATCTGAAGCCAACTCCAAAGCACACTCTCACAAGCCTTACCCCATTTGTTAGCATCTCAAGTGTCTTCAGCCACCCACTCTTGCAAGAGTTTCAGGGCTTAGCAGGTTTCACTGAGCTTATTCAATGCAATACTACTCTGTTTTACTTTTGCTGGGAATTCAGCGAGCCCTATATGAAAAGCAGCTTTCAAAACATGCTTGAACCGGGATGCGGTCAGGTCTGGAGGAGGCAGGCTTGCATCTGAAACAGCTCAGTGAAACTTAACAGCTCTTATTCAGACCTTAACCTGGTTTTTAAGGATGATCTTTGCACTGTACACATTCTCCTGGAAACCTGGATGCGATTGTACCCCATCTCCCATCTAGGAGAAGTTTCCCAATGACCTTGGGAAAGCTATTTTGGACAACAGAAAGGGTGCAGAATGAGAAAAGAGTGGTTAGTAACAAGAATGTGGCTTCAGCAAGGGGTAAGTTCAATCCTAAATCACAATAATTTTGTGAAGACTGAGAGCCAGAATATATCCAGCAGTTTGATGCTGGTAGGGGAGAACTAGGCAAGGAAAACAGCTATTCCCAGTCTTCCGTAAAAGGTCTGTCAATGCCTCTGGCATACCACAAACCAAAGGCCATCTCTTCAACCTGGATTTCCAAATCCTAAAATTCCGCATGCAACACCAACTGCAAACAGTTGCTAACTAGTCTCATTATCTAAAAATTTATCACAACTTCTCTACTTCAATACCATTTCTTACTCATTGCACAGCAGTGACCAAAGCCTTGTCTTGTTCAGAGGCAAATGTTCCCCAAGATATTAGAAGAACCATTCCCCTGGTAGCTGTTGTAACATATCAGCGATGCGGCTAACCTGCACCACAGAACCTGGCTCCAGAGGTCCGTGGAAATGGGATGTTAGAGTCCTGGTAGGAGCCATAGGCATTGGAGACCCGGGCGAACGTGGGCAAGGGGGGTGTTACGGAGTTTGACAAAGCGTAGGGATTGCTGGACGTGCTGTCCTCTTGGTTCTGAAACAGAAGTTACCCAAGGTCACACTCCTGCTGCCACAGGAAGGAAACCCAGCTGGAGCACTGGCCATCGCGGTGCCAAGCAGCCTTACGGAAGGTTCTTGTTCTTTGAGCCACAGCAGATCAAGCACAGAGCATGGTTACTGCTCTGGCTGCAAAGGCACTTGCAAGCACATTTACCTTTGAGGAAAGGGCTTCTCTGGCTGCTTGTCCAGAGATTTCTCTCCCACCACAGCCGTGTTGAAATACAGAGTTTAACTTGGGGTGAAACAGTGGGGAAATCTGACCTTCAGACTCTGGATATGACTCTCAACACCTCAGTGATGCAAGTGAGACAAAGTCTCCTTAAATAGGAATACTACACAACTGTGGGGGGGTCCAATGCAGGTTGGGAGTCTTGAAGTGAGGAAGGGTAGGTGGTGTGAAATACTGGGGGACCTCAGGCCTATCCATAGGAATTTTGGTAGAAATCTGCATTTATTTGGAAAAAGACTGCTACAGCTTAGGTTTAAAGGAATTCTTTAAAGGCAGCAGCACCTGGCTTGAGTCATCAGATTTCCATACAATGAAGAAAGTTCCCACTCTTACAACATTACTGCTGAAACCAAACAGAATTAAGCCTTTCCATGTAAAAAAAGCCCTTTATTTGTGATGAATAAACAAAGCCTCTTGGAAAAGAAACCTGAGGAGACTCTCCAATCTTTTCCGAATGCTAAAAACACCCACTCCGGTACACTTCACCCACACACAGACCGAATACCTGACACTGAGATGCTGAGTAGGTATCACAGATCTCCCAGCTACGGGCAGAGTGTGACTTGGATTTATCTGCAGTATCATCCCTACAAAACCTCCCTCAGCACAAGGCTTCAGAAGAAACAGACTTTCACAGTTTCTTTTTATGAGGGAAGAAAACAAAGACCCTAGAATAGGACTAGCAGGATCTTTGACTAGAACTGAGGAGGTAAAGACATCTGCCACTAACTTTCAGACAAGAATGAATCCATCAGCTCCTGGAGGCCTCTTATCTTCTTGCACAGATGATAACCATGCCCTGGCACTCAGTGAGATATACTCCAAGCTGGGAAGCTACCATGCACCACTAAGATGCTCCTACCCCCAGTCATTCCTGCTAACCCGAATTATCAGTGAGCATGCAAAGTTCCCCAAAGCAGCAAACCTTCAGGGCCTGATTTTTGGTAACAAAACACATCTAATCATCTGCTCAGTTTTCTTCAACATTAACCAGAAGTGCTTACACAAATGTAACGGCCAGTCACAGGGGTCTATTTACACGTCTAATGAGGCCAGACTCTCACTGCAGAGTCAGAAGTCTGGGAACAGGAAGAAGACAACAAACTAGGGCAGAAAGCCCACGCAGTTTTCCATACCACAACAGACTCCAGCCAGGAGACCAGCTGACGCAGGCAGGGCTCCAGGCAGCTCTGGTTCCGCTTAACTTTCTGCAGAGAAGTGTCTTTCAATATCTGGAATACATAAAAGATGTAACTTGAATCATGGTTACATCCACACCTTCCCTGCATCCTTTTTTGTCTGCAGAACAACTAAGATGCCAGGATCCAGACAGGCCAAAGACATCCACTGAAGCCACAGTGACCCACTGGTGTGCTGTCTGCTTTGAGGAACGACTGTGAGCTTTGATCAGAGCACTGACAGTTCACCTAGATTCGGCACACTCTGAGCCAGGATCTGGGCTGCTATACTACTGTAGCCCATACGTTCCATACCAGTTTGTGGCAAATGGAATCAGTTTTCTTTCAGGAAGGAACCCAAATTGATCCATCTACCTGCTGCCAGGGAAAGGATTTAATCAGCAATAGGACTTCCTACACCAGATGATCAAACACCTGGTCTGGAATTAGCAGGGCCTGTGTAAAAAGTCTCCTCATTTTTAAAACAGTTTGTGCTGGAGAGCAGGAAGCAACCTCCCAGCTCAAAAATATTATCTTTCTGCAGCTGGATGCTTAGCTGGTCATTTTGGGGTTGGGGGCAACTGCATGAGGAGAAGGATGTTAGGGATCCTCAGGCAATACACATCACGCAGGAGTACAGTAGCAGTGAAGAACACATATTCAAAAGCACCAGCGGAGAAAGGCCAATACTAGGCTCCAAGCCCAACAAAAACCTCATCCTAGGAGGTCCACAATGTATCAGTTCAACGTGACTTGTTGACTATGTCTTCAGCAAGGTCAGATGTTTTATTGTGCCAGTAAGCTAGACATCAAGCATCCAGAATTTGTATATTTATAAAGACAGCATACAGTCCTCACACACCTTCAGCAGCTTTGCCTTCATGGAGGCCGTGATTGAGGTCGGGTTGATGAACTGGAAGGATGGTGCAGCATTATTGGGATACTGGACAGGGAACATCACCAGCATCCTGACTCTGTGGTTGCCACAGTGCACTGACACCGTACAGCTACGACTCACCGCATCCATCTGTGTAAGGAAAAGCAATTGCTCTGTAGTTAGATCTCCAAGGACCTTTAAACTTATAGTGGCTTAAATTCATGCTGAGGGGCTGATTCCTCTGCACACCCATAAGACGAAGTCATGCTGTTCTCAAGGGCAGTGAACACAGTGACAGCAAAAAACCCCAGGCAGATGGGGACAGACTCAGCTCGCGCCAGCTCGTGCCAGCCCAGCATCCCAGCATCTGGAGACCACAGCCAGCCCTGGCTGCGCCAGGAATCAGGCTCTTCTCCCAACAGCCACTGCACCCCAGCCCGCTTCACCTGACCATGGAAAGCTCCAGACCTGGTGCAGCAGTAACAGGCACCATCTAAGATCATACAGCTTTGTCTCAGAAAACTACATCAGGATCATGCCATGAGCGGTGAAACCACAGGGGTGGGAAAGGAGACAGGCAGCTGCCTCAAGCCTCCCGTCCCAGTACAGCGCTGTGCCTCCAGCCACCTCTCCACCACGCAGAGAAGACGGTTTGGCGTGCAAGGGAGATGCCAGAACTGAGGGAGAGAGTGCAGGATAGGGAGGGCTCATCAGATCAGGTTCAGAAACAGCTGAAATGCGATCAGCTGCATGCAGTGGAACAAGTCACTTTCCACTCTGCAGTCTAGGCAGAGAGGAAAACACCATCCAGCCTTCTCAGGACCAGCGCCAGTGTACTTACTGTGCCGAAATACTTCCCTCACTCACAGTGGCTGGGATTATCCTCTTTCTTACTACCCCTGGCCAAGAGGATCTCTACAGCTCAAAATAAACCTTGTTTACAGGCAGCAGTGACTGCAGCAAAAAAGGTTCCCCTCAAAAAGCTCTGATGAGCCAGCCTGCCCACATCCCCTCCTAACAAGCCAGAAAAAGGAAACTCTTTACCTCCACATTGACATTTCGGATCTGCACGTTGATCAGTGAAAACTCCTGCTGCAGTGTCTGAGGCAGCCCCAGCTGGTCTGTTTTCTTTCCCACCAGGGGGTCGTTCAGGAAATCTTGTTTTAAGGCTGACAGGAAAGATGGAGAACAGGTTGAGACAAGCTATAATAGACAGACTTTTGGCACACGATGCCAGGAGGCAGCCAAGACAGCAGGCTTTCCTCTGCTCTTCTGACACATAGAGGTATGAGTTTTACCTGGCAAAGACCTACAAGCTGGAGGGTCTCAGCTGTTGTTTAGAGGCAGGCTTCTGAGCCTTGCTCTTCAAAAAAACAAACCTGTCTGCACACAGGTTTCCCAGAAAGGTTACAGAAGCTGCCTGTACTCTTACAGCCCTAAATGGTCTGTCTCTACTCATTTGAGACCCCTTCCTCCCTAAACAGTATTGCCAGAGTCACCAACAGCTGAACTGAAG